CTCCAGAAGTCACGAACCACTAGATTGTTGAGGACAGTCAGAAGACAGGCGTTATGCACCGCACACGCGCCAATTCTACACCGACACAGTGGAGATGTGTGGACAGAGGTGGTGTGGGAATGTGAGTGTTTTACAGTGTGTACGGTGTTGTCACAATGAGGTATGCTGGGTGATGATGGCAGAGTAGTGGTGTGGCTACAAAATCCGCTTGCTGGGAGTGGGGTTCGAACCCACGCGGGGATACACCCCAGGGGATCTTAAGTCCACCGCCTTAACCACTCGGCCATCCCAGCTGGATTGCGCATACACCGACTCGCACACTCAACACTACACTCTCAGTCGCTTCCACAAACACTAACGTCAACGAGCAATCACACAAAGATCATCAACCCAAAATACAACCACATCAACACAACACCAATACTGACACCACTGAATACACCATGAACTACTCACCTACCACCCACACATTATCGCTCACTCCGATCCACATACATACGCACGCACATATATTCATCAACAACACACCGACTGATCAATTCGTCAACAAACATCGCTCATCAACCAGTCACTCTCTACTAATATTCAATGTGTTGACACATAGTCAAGTCATTCCCACACCAATTATGCAACCATCGAATATTTCACTCGCATACTCTCAGCCACACTAACCGTCACAACCATGATAGGCATTGTTTTCACTCAACCAGTGTCCATTATCCTGTTGTCTTGTATGCGGCTGACACGTTCAATCTTTCCTGTGACTCGGTGTTGTTGTTAGAAACGATATCCTCTCAGCGTGATGTGATCCCGATGGTGGAGTGTGTTTCGGATTGACTCCTCCGTCGTTATTCTCAACGTCGCGATTAGTCAACATCCAGTGGAATAGAGAGGCATACATAAGTAACTAATCGAACATCCCACTGATATGGACAAACCTATGCGCAAACCTGCACAGTTTGAGACGACAAATATATATGACAGAATCCATCTCAAACACTTCAGTCATTCTGTTCGATTCAAATGACTGTGAAATGACACTTGTGCTCGTCTTCATATCATCACAATTGCTTGTATGCGAATATAGATTTGTGCGTGTTGTATGAATGTGTGGTGCATTGACTGATTGATTGAGTGAATAAATCAATGAGTTTACGTTCGACTATGTTTGTGTTTCAGTGTGACTGTGTAGAATTGGTGAATGAGAGAGAGAGCGAGAGCGAGAGCGAGAGCGAGCGAGAGAGAGCGAGAGTGAGTGAGTGATTGAGTGCGAGACTGATGTTACTTAAGTGTGTCTATTGGAAGTGTCGATTTTCAATCGACTGGACGGTGAGTGATGTGAGTGTAATATTGAGTGCCGGTAAATCGGAGAATCGAGTCACTTGTGTGACATGCACACACGGGACACTTGCAACACAAGTGACTGACAAGGTGACCGACTCAGTAGACTCATCTCCACCAAGACTGGAGGTGTGAGTGCACAACGAGCAGTCCACTGGTCACCCTGAGAGGCTGCTAACAGAGCACCGACTCCAGAAGTCACGAACCACTAGATTGTTGAGGACAGTCAGAAGACAGGCGTTATGCACCGCACACGCGCCAATTCTACACCGACACAGTGGAGATGTGTGGACAGAGGTGGTGTGGGAATGTGAGTGTTTTACAGTGTGTACGGTGTTGTCACAATGAGGTATGCTGGGTGATGATGGCAGAGTAGTGGTGTGGCTACAAAATCCGCTTGCTGGGAGTGGGGTTCGAACCCACGCGGGGATACACCCCAGGGGATCTTAAGTCCACCGCCTTAACCACTCGGCCATCCCAGCTGGATTGCGCATACACCGACTCGCACACTCAACACTACACTCTCAGTCGCTTCCACAAACACTAACGTCAACGAGCAATCACACAAAGATCATCAACCCAAAATACAACCACATCAACACAACACCAATACTGACACCACTGAATACACCATGAACTACTCACCTACCACCCACACATTATCGCTCACTCCGATCCACATACATACGCACGCACATATATTCATCAACAACACACCGACTGATCAATTCGTCAACAAACATCGCTCATCAACCAGTCACTCTCTACTAATATTCAATGTGTTGACACATAGTCAAGTCATTCCCACACCAATTATGCAACCATCGAATATTTCACTCGCATACTCTCAGCCACACTAACCGTCACAACCATGATAGGCATTGTTTTCACTCAACCAGTGTCCATTATCCTGTTGTCTTGTGTGCGGCTGACACGTTCAATCTTTCCTGTGACTCGGTGTTGTTGTTAGAAACGATATCCTCTCAGCGTGATGTGATCCCGATGGTGGAGTGTGTTTCGGATTGACTCCTCCGTCGTTATTCTCAACGTCGCGATTAGTCAACATCCAGTGGAATAGAGAGGCATACATAAGTAACTAATCGAACATCCCACTGATATGGACAAACCTATGCGCAAACCTGCACAGTTTGAGACGACAAATATATATGACAGAATCCATCTCAAACACTTCAGTCATTCTGTTCGATTCAAATGACTGTGAAATGACACTTGTGCTCGTCTTCATATCATCACAATTGCTTGTATGCGAATATAGATTTGTGCGTGTTGTATGAATGTGTGGTGCATTGACTGATTGATTGAGTGAATAAATCAATGAGTTTACGTTCGACTATGTTTGTGTTTCAGTGTGACTGTGTAGAATTGGTGAATGAGAGAGAGAGCGAGAGCGAGAGCGAGCGAGAGAGAGCGAGAGTGAGTGAGTGATTGAATGCGAGACTGATGTTACTTAAGTGTGTCTATTGGAAGTGTCGATTTTCAATCGACTGGACGGTGAGTGATGTGAGTGTAATGTTGAGTGCCGGTAAATCGGAGAATCGAGTCACTTGTGTGACATGCACACACGGGACACTTGCAACACAAGTGACTGACAAGGTGACCGACTCAGTAGACTCATCTCCACCAAGACTGGAGGTGTGAGTGCACAACGAGCAGTCCACTGGTCACCCTGAGAGGCTGCTAACAGAGCACCGACTCCAGAAGTCACGAACCACTAGATTGTTGAGGACAGTCAGAAGACAGGCGTTATGCACCGCACACGCGCCAATTCTACACCGACACAGTGGAGATGTGTGGACAGAGGTGGTGTGGGAATGTGAGTGTTTTACAGTGTGTACGGTGTTGTCACAATGAGGTATGCTGGGTGATGATGGCAGAGTAGTGGTGTGGCTACAAAGTCCGCTTGCTGGGAGTGGGGTTCGAACCCACGCGGGGATACACCCCAGGGGATCTTAAGTCCACCGCCTTAACCACTCGGCCATCCCAGCTGGATTGCGCATACACCGACTCGCACACTCAACACTACACTCTCAGTCGCTTCCACAAACACTAACGTCAACGAGCAATCACACAAAGATCATCAACCCAAAATACAACCACATCAACACAACACCAATACTGACACCACTGAATACACCATGAACTACTCACCTACCACCCACACATTATCGCTCACTCCGATCCACATACATACGCACGCACATATATTGATCAACAACACACCGACTGATCAATTCGTCAACAAACATCGCTCATCAACCAGTCACTCTCTACTAATATTCAATGTGTTGACACATAGTCAAGTCATTCCCACACCAATTATGCAACCATCGAATATTTCACTCGCATACTCTCAGCCACACTAACCGTCACAACCATGATAGGCATTGTTTTCACTCAACCAGTGTCCATTATCCTGTTGTCTTGTATGCGGCTGACACGTTCAATCTTTCCTGTGACTCGGTGTTGTTGTTAGAAACGATATCCTCTCAGCGTGATGTGATCCCGATGGTGGAGTGTGTTTCGGATTGACTCCTCCTTCGTTATTCTCAACGTCGCGATTAGTCAACATCCAGTGGAATAGAGAGGCATACATAAGTAACTAATCGAACATCCCACTGATATGGACAAACCTATGCGCAAACCTGCACAGTTTGAGACGACAAATATATATGACAGAATCCATCTCAAACACTTCAGTCATTCTGTTCGATTCAAATGACTGTGAAATGACACTTGTGCTCGTCTTCATATCATCACAATTGCTTGTATGCGAATATAGATTTGTGCGTGTTGTATGAATGTGTGGTGCATTGACTGATTGATTGAGTGGATAAATCAATGAGTTTACGTTCGACTATGTTTGTGTTTCAGTGTGACTGTGTAGAATTGGTGAATGAGAGAGAGTGAGTGATTGAATGCGAGACTGATGTTACTTAAGTGTGTCCAGATATCATTTATTTGTGGACGTTTTGAGACGATTCTGAGGTTCATTTGCATGAGCATGTATGACTATTTATCTATATGATGATTGAACGTCTTCGTGAATCATATAGTCTCTCGGTTTAGGACAACTGTGAGGTCGCTGTTCAACTTGAAACAACAAGATTGCACACAATGTCCCAATCGATGTGTTCGAGAACATTGATATGTCTATTGGAACTGTCGAATTTCAATCGACTGGACGTTGAGTGTAATATTGAGTGCCGGTAAATCGGAGAATCGAGTCACTTGTTCGGCTTTCGACGTCATAATTATTCTGTAAGCGCTGGATAGTTTCATGAATTGCGGAGTAATTTTCCGCGCCTGATATTTATGTTTGTTAATGTGCATTTTAAAAGGCCGTTACGTTTTCTATTAGGAATTTCGTTGACTCTGTTTATTTTTTGTACTCATTTTTGTTTCTTTTGGTCCGTGTGAGAAGAACTTTCGGAAGAACGTTCTGTATCAGATTTTATATACTCTGGCTTATTTCTATGAAGCGGCTGAACTTACTTTAACTTAGCTTCGTGAGTAGTGGACATCACATAATTTTTCTATCAAATACTTTTTGATCGTAGACTTATTTTTTCTTTAACTGATACTTTTAGTTTCTTTTATAAGTGTGAAATTTGGCAACTTAGTTTCAGAAGTAACACTTTAATTGAAGAATGCTATTTGGTATTATTTATAAAGGATTTAAAGCATGACTACAAAATATAATACAAAAAGAACTATATTATTGTTAATTCTATTTAAGCTGACCAAAAGGAAAATTTCATTTCAAATAACAACTTTTCAAGCTGATGAATGAAAATACTGAAAGAAAGAATTTGAAATAACAGAGTTATTCATCGATTAAGTAAACTAATTACACGTTTGATTTCCTTATGATCACAAGACATAAATTGTTTACAAAGTTGATAGAATTGTTCATAAATATATTTAGGCGTTAATAATCGATTATAATTTTTTAAAGGATCTTGATAATTAGTGAATGAATCACGTTTCTCGTTTGGCTCGATGTGATTGGATTGAATGATTTCTGAAAAATAATTTATTTCGGCTTGTAGGTATTGTTTAAAATCAACATGATGAAGATTATGTTCATCAGATTCAGTGGATAAAATGGATTCAGGGAATTCTGAACTTTGAATATTTTCTAATGAAAGTGTTGAATGTAGCATGGTCAACAAATGTGTCGGTTTGAATAGCATACATTCACTTTCGAATTCAGAAAAATCAAATGATGATGGGGAAGAAGAGGACGACGATTGCATGCAAAATAAACAAATAAAACTTAATAAAATAACTAATGATATTACAGAATAACCAGATTGAAAATATTCTTGTGTTAGCAGGTCAAGTAAATCACAAGTAGTCATTAAATTATTCATATCTCTTTCTAACAATTCATTAAATCCATTTAAACAATTAGGTTGACTACTTTTTATTCTATCGACAACTTCTCGTTGAACAGCACGATAATGTCTAGCTTGCACAGTAAGCTTACTAATTTGGTTATCTAGTTCTAAGCGTTTATTGACATGATTATCTAAAGATTCATATAATTTATTGAACAATGTTTCAAGTTGAGAAGTATAATTATCAAACTTTGATGACGATGGTGATTTCGGAGGTACAGGACGATCATCCATGAATTTTCTAGCATCCTTCGTATACAAGATAATGTAAAGATTATTTGCATCACTATTTGGTTTACGTTTTCCAACAAGATTATTATGAAAAATGAGCTCTTGTAAAATTGGCCAAAATGTTTCAGGATGATTACTTTGTAGTTTAAATTTGAATTTTTTATTGTATTTAACTGAAATGTATACACATTGTTGATCAGCATTACTTATTTGTTTCAATCCATTAAATGATACATATAGGGTGAAGTTATTTTGACTACTTTCATTAAAACCAGTAGTATCATTTTTAGGTAAGAAATTTGGAAATAAGTCTGATAAATATACATTTTTTAAATGATTATGAAACTTTGTTATCAATTGAAAAACCAAGGAAAATTTCCCAATCATTTGATTCTTATGTACAAAGGTGCTAGAAGCAAACAAGATTATTGGGAGCTGGATACAATGAGTAACACATTTTGTAATTGAACGAGAATTAAACGACATTGAATTATCAGTAGGGCAATTAATGTTTTCATTACTATTATTGTTATTGTTCTTATAGTTCAAGGGAGTAAAAGTGTAATACAACATTAAAACAACATTCATATCTAATGGAAGTTGATTATGCATTATTGATGATGTCTCATTTTCTCCATCAATAAATTTATTAACATTATAACACGTTAATGTATATGAATACTTATATGAATTATTATGATTGACTAAAACAAAATCACTACTATTCAATTCATTAGAAGAAATGTCTATATAATTAGGTTTGATTATAATTGGTGGACAAGAATGAGTTAATAGATAAACAGGATTAAATTGTTTCTTGGGATATGCTTTTGGAAATTCAATATCAATGTCAATATAGCATAATTCATTCTCATCTGTATTCAATCGATTTGAATTTAGACGAATAGATGTTTTCAATTTTGGGAGAGAATCTTTTTCAAGATGAGTATTTTTATGATTATTATTAGAGAATAATAAAGACGAGCGAACTTTTATTAGCTGATCAATACGTTCATTTACTTGATGCATTTCTTCATCGAAACTTTCATTTTTCAGTTGTGATTGATTAGGATCTATTTCATTTGAATAATTGTGACCGTTTTGACTTGATTTCATGATATTCGGGACAACTAAATTAGATGGATCAGTGCCAAGATATGACAAAGTAATTCGTCCATTTCTATGAAGTACAACAATTAAACCAGATGGAAAATTTAGTCCAATAAAAGGAAGTGTTTTACCGTAATGATTACTTAATTCCATTGTGAATATAGGCATGGATATATGAATTGCACCAAATGATAACAATGCAGACCATAAGAGTTGCGCACCCTGAAAAGTAAGGTAGACTAGATAATTAGTGTTTAGTAAATGATATATAGGTTATTGGATAAAGATGGTAAATATTTATCAACTGAGGCAGTTAGGTCGGTTTTAATGTATCCCCACCCACAATCTACCTCAACGCTCAATGTTTGCTGTAACTAGGTTATAAGAAAGATAAGAGTGATCAAGTCGAGACGTGATATTAGACCATGAAGTTATTACCTGTCGGTTTCATCCGTGTTGGTATATGCGAACAATTTAGTTGGAGTTCAGGAGATATTGGATAATATGGCTCAGAAAGAATTGTAATGACACATATTGATTAACATTTTGCCTCCCCTTAGACACTGTTTTAAAATTATCGTATACTTCTCTATTCCACGGACTCATTCTCTCTCCTCGAATCATACTGTTTATGCCAAGCTTTCTCTACAATCGCCGATATTGTTTCTACTAGTCTGATGTTTATCTTGATGATTTCATCTCACTGTGCTGATACGGTGTGGTGACGTGAGCCGATGCATATACGCCAGATTCTACGCTACTTATGATTGACGGACCTATACCTTGGTTGCACTAAACTTATGTTAAGCTTTGAAGACACTAATAGCCAAATAAATGTTTTTCTTTTAATAACTTTACCTTTCACTATCAAATACTAGTTTGATGACAGGATGAAGGAAATGTGTTAAATAGTAGTCCTTTTTCTAACTATGTTTATAATAAAAGCCCATAATGAACATTAGCAAACTTGAGTATTCTTAAAAACTTATGAATTCGATCTATGTGTCAATTAAATAAAGTTCTATTTATAGAAGAAAAGGGGAAAAACCGAGCAAAATCCAGCAAAATTCGAGTGAAGTGCTTATGATTAATGGCTATATCAAGGCAGTCTGTTCGGAAAACACACATGAAAACAGAGACTGATCATCTCTGGTCTTTAACATCAACAATAAGAAGATTCAAATAACCCCTACAACTAAAGTAAAATTCATTTCCGTCACACAACCTAGTGGACATCCGGACTCAGTAGCCGAGTGGTTAGCGCGTTGGAAGCTAAAAGCAATCAGTCCGAGTCCGCAAGTGAACATCAGCACGAGTGCAGTTATATTCACCTGATAAGTCCCATTTAGAATTAAACACGCATCCTGAACTTTACTGCTAGTCACTATCAAAACTTTGCCTTCTGTTAGTACTTGGAAAAAAAAAGTTATGGATAAATCAAGAGGTATTTATTCACATACTCAATCAACTTTCTTTGGTGACACAACATCGGACAACTTGGTAAAGGAAATGTTGAAGATTTTATCATCAAACGAAAACGAGGTCAATGAAGTCTAAATTTATTGCGTGATGAAATGAATAGTAACAGTGACCACTGAAAAGTTGATAAGAATATTGTGAAGACTTTATCAAAAAACACAACTGAACGGCACATGATAAGTGTTTATGTATGCAATACTGGCAACTACACCCAAAAATCCATTAAACATAATTGCAATATGCATCAAAGGATTTAAAAGTTACCTGAAAGCAAAAGCAAAAGTCTGAAAAAGTGCACGAAAACCAGATGATTGTTTTTAAGATTAAAAGTTTATTCGTTTATTTAGATTTGGACAGAAAAGTAACTAAACCTTCATTCATCGCTTTGCATTCAGTCCAAAAAAAGTTTATTTTACGAATACCCAACACCAACGGAAACGTGATTTTAAAGTAACTCGCGTAAGTCGCGCTGAACGAAAGAGGTGGGATAAAAAAATAGTAATAGAAGTGGAGAGATGATTTTGGTTAGAGCACCAAGCATTTGATTGGAAGGTCTATTTAAGTCAGTTTAAGCATCTGAGCTTTATCATTAGTCATCGAAGAACGAGCTTGGATAAAAAACAGATAGTTAAAACCTGGACTTGGCAAGTGAGTTACAAAAATAAAGCTGACAAGTCGTCAATATATCTGAAACAAAAGGATGTGAAAACACATGAACTGAAAAACGTAATGTATCATTTTCAATTGTGATACTATACACGGGAGAGAACACTTGATTTAATATATGAATAGACAGTGAAAATATCGGCAGTTTCGAAAACACCATTAAGTAGTTAGAAGATGAAAAAAATCGCTAGAACTAAGCACATTATTTACATGAACATAATAAAATTCATATCTAAGACCTGCATCTAGAACACTGGGGTCAATATTGGGACGTGTCATTCAGTCTCTAATCATAGGTTGTGATTCTCTTTGAGGTACCAACAGAATCGTCTTCACTACACTGCACAGCTCAAACCAGTAGCCAATGAACCCATGGACCGAGCTAGGATCTAATAGCGTACAAGTCTAACTTCAAACAGTCAATGATATTATGCGAACATCTTCACGTGCAGAACCATAACTATCAGGTAATAGAAATATATACTTGTAGTTTATATTACGCTACTAATAAACTTAAAAATGAACTATAGTCAAAACCGAATGAATATTTCATATAATTTCGTTTATCATAGTGATTGTAGGAGGGCTTTACGTACATCTCAACTACTGAATTGTATTAAAGTTTAGTCAATGATAATACTATATATATATATATATATATATATATATATATATATATATATATATATATATATATATATATATATATATATATATATATATATGAAATTTTGATGATTTGACATTATTGTGAAAAAAACTACACTTACTTTAAATACAAGTAGCTGATTTTTCTCTGTTGTTACCAGAAACCTTGGCACCCAAGAAACTTGACTTTGTGTATTAGTAAATGATAAGTTTTCTGGTGAATTAACATTTCTTTCTGAATAACCATATACACATAATTGTTTGGATGGAATGTCAATACGCCGAGTAAACAATAAAGAGCCAGTTTCTGAGATAAGGAAAATTCGTTTTCTACCTAATGCAACTACATACGATAAAGGATAGTGTTTACTGGTTGCAGATTCTGAGTCAATTTCATCTATACACAATATGGGTTCTCCTGAAACAATCGACCAGTCGAATGGAATATTTTTATGATTAGCATATAATATTTGAGAGTGTTCAATATTCGAAGACAGAAAACTAAAACAATATAGTTTTATTGAAGTAGCTATTATTAACGAATGGATGGATTTTACAAATATTATAGGACCAGGTATTAGAATATTTGGTAACGTTATTTGAAATAATTCTCCATTTGCATTGAAAAAGTAAAGAGATGCGTCAACTGATTGAACACAAATGACATCTGTCTGAATTTTTTCAAAGAATTTTCCAAGAAGTAATGTGTATGAATCCTTTTGAACGTTAAGTTTGAATGAAAGTGTTAGCTTCCAAGATTCCAGTGAAAAATTATCACTACAGCCTTGAAACGAATCATCAGACTTCGCAAAATTATAAACAGATATCATTCGTGAATGCAAAACTGCTATCTGTTGATACTGAGACATTTCCATGACAAGATTACCACAATCTATACATAAAATGGGGTGTTCAGTATTGTATTCAAGGCACAAATCATTATAATCATGTAATTGACCATTTGATTTTTCATTATCTGAAATTTCAGCAGCTCGAGGTAGGAAAATGGACAAAATACCAGAGGAAGTTCCAAATAAGATGAAATATTGAGATTTATGCAAATTGTGAAGAGGGCTTAACTTCAAGCAAAAACCGTCCTCAAAATTTGTTGTGTGCAGCTGTGATGACCAAATGTCACAAATTTTAAACAATGACATTAGAGATTATTTTGTAAATGGAAGGTGTACGATAAACAATATTCACTGCATACCTCAGAGTTTGATAAATATTTTAATAGGATTGTAACTGAAAATAGCCGAGTTTTTTTTACTACAATGAATAATTATCATTTAACTGAGGGAGATGAGACAATCCAGTAAATTCATAAGTTGATATGAATGAAAAATTGTCCGTTCAGTACAGGCATCTAAAGGAAGGTGTTGTGAAAATATTATTATTAATGACACTATCCAAATAGGCAAATAACTACGATAAATGAATATTTAACAATTATTTATAGATTTCACATAAACGCTTAGATCAGGATTGAAAGAGAAATGACCTCTATATAAAAGGAAATTAAATACATATAACTGATGTGCACAACTCAATAGCTGAGCGATGTGAAAATGTCGATTCGTAAATCTCTTAGCAACCTGACACTAAACAAAATATCAGTTAGAACAAGTGGACTGTAAATTTTATACAGTTAAAAATATGAACATCCTCAGAAAAAGTAGGATTTTAATCAACGGAATAGATTAAATAATGAAAATCTTTGTACTACATGAGAATAATGAGGAAAAATATAAAACAGCAGGTTAAAAAGTAATCAAAAAGTAGAAAGTGGGAATCACTACGAGGTATCACATCGGGTCAAACTGTTGTTTAAATGATATATGGAAAATGGGTATTACCTTCCGAATAATTTTATTAACACAGTTATATTGTAGTAGTTAAGCAGACAATTCTAAAAATTACACACTTATGAAACCATGAGTGGGACATTTGATGAGAAGAATCAAAATACCAACTAAACAGAGTCCAAATCAACTCGCGAAAATAACGTTGTTTTTCATTAGTTGATCTAATTAGTTCATACCACTAGCGATTAGACAGCAGTATTACTTTATAGGTAAGTTTGACTCTAACCTTGTTACTAAGTGTAAATAATTTTCAAAAAAATCTTAGGTTAGCACAATGTGTACATCATTTCTTATGAAATGATTAAGACGATCGAATTTCAATCGCTAGGTCGCAGATATGAGACTTGGACCATCCAATGTTTGAGGTTTCACAAACACAGGACAAAACTGTTCTTACCGACGCATCGCAGTCAGATTAGCATCACGAAAAACAAAATATGACTCACATTAACATTAAACATTCTGGCTTTCACTATAAATAAATTCATCTTATCACTCACGCCACCACAAACAATTGCACAACTACCCAGATACGAGAAATTATCGACTACCTTCAACTGCTCACCACCAACAGTGAGTGCAGACATAGGCTCCTGAAAGTCTTGTAAAGGCCCTTTGTGCTGAGAAGCTGTTAAGCACATGTCATACCTACAGACACTCATTGTCAACTGATTAAGTGAGGATTGCATGGCTTCAGTCACATTGAACAGTGGGACAATATCATTCTCATACTCGACGTAGAAGACTCCTCCAAGTAACAAATCCACACCACCACCAAAAACAACACTTACTTCCATCACAGCTATCTCCAGAACGTCATCCATGGTAAAGTGGAGGAGGAATTGTGAGATTGAACAGCTCTGTCTAATCCCACTACTTGAATGCAACAACGGGAAGAGAATTTTGCATGCCCTCACTTTGACTGGCGTGTTTGTGTACAAAACCTTCAAGATATTGGTAAAATTCACAGCCACACCCTTCTTTAACAGACAATGTGAGAGCATAGTCCTATTCAGAGTACCGAAGGTAGTCCTCATATTGAGAAACAACGATTGTTGGTATGCAACGAGTGTAGCGGTGCTCTAAAATTTGGTGGTATGGAAGAGTGAAGATATCACCAATACATTCTTGACTATGACATAAAGTACCCTGTTTCTTATGAGTCAGTCCCTCTCGGGTTTCAAACAATCTGCGAAGCATGACGTAAGCTAAAGTTGAAAAGCCAGGTAATGCCACTATCTCCTAAAAGTAAAGTATGGCTCAATGCCGAGTACACGAATATGTATTTGATAAATGAGTAACATTACCATCTAGATTTGAAAAGCTTTAATTCTGATGTTACCCGTTCAGCTCAAACGATTCAAGCATCACAAACACGAACTTGTGATTACTATGATCGAGGAATAGTGCACTACACTTCACGAGTTATTCCCAACTTAACACAACTGCTACCTGTACTGTTCGAATATTTTACTAGTGGAACATTTGGATGAAAACAATGTCACAAAGATACATAAAAAAACACACTGAAGCTTCTTGAGGATATTTCTACTTACTAAAAAGCTTGTTCCACCTACTGACCCATCCATAGTGGGCACAGATGGAGTTTAACAGTACGAGTAGCCTGTGTTAGGCACTTTCAAATAACTCATAAAGGGTAGACAGCAGTTTTTTTTTCAATTTAAGGAGTGTTTGTTGTTCCTTTTAATGGTATATGTATTTTTCTGGTAAGAAATTTTATATGATAAGTGATCAAGGACAGGATTTCATCTGCTAAAATGACAAGCCACTACGTCGATTATCTGAGGCAATCGTTCAAATACTGAACTAATCGCTGACAATTTAACAGGTAAATACATACAAATTAAATGACTGATATAGGCTTCCTATAACACTAGTATAACCCTGAGGAGTCATCCAATATTTGTTGATCACACCGATGATCGCTGGTCATACACAGACTGTGAAAAATACATGAAAGTATTTTTCTCGAATCATAAGTCTAGTCAGAAGAGGATGTAATGTATATTATGCACGCTGACTTCATATATTTTGGAAGTAACGTAGAAACATCCTTCTACTCTAAAAGACTTTCGTACTCGAATAAAGAAGCTATCATTTCTTTAGCAATTAGATCTGAAATACTGAACCATATTTATGCGGTGTATTTTGTGATCAGAAATAATTTAATACAAACTGAGACGTACTCGTGACAAAGATTGGTGATGATCTAAGCCGACAAATCTACCTGTTTATATAAACTATTTTACAGAAGTTTGAGTAGTTTGCGTGGTATTCGTACGAAATGGTGGTACATTTGTACTTCATCCCTGACTTATTGCAAATTCCAAATAAAACGCTTTTAATTGCCTTCAACCGAAATGCTCCAGGATTTCTTGATCGGGATATTAACTCGATTAACTCTAGTTATCGTAGTTTAGCCACGTCCCCCCCCGGAGATTTACAAAAGTTTCTTTAAAATTGGCAAGATCTTTTCCATTTTCAGAAAGTTTGCAATATGTCATCGAAAAGCTCACATGTAACTAACGTTCGTTCGACGGATTTATCTGAGTATAGCAATAAACAAAAGAAAATCACTGAATCCGTCTTTGTGATTCGGTGACAAAATTGCAACTGATACAATGCGATCTTAAGCTATCATAATGTGAAAATGCAGGATTTCCGAGAACTGAACCGTAATACCGATTCAAAATATATAAACACGTGTGCACTGAGAACATGCAGCTTTAGTTTTTATCCAACGCGTGTGCGCACAAACGTGAATTCACACACGAGTTAAATTAAGAAGCAACATGCAAACCAAAAACACACCGGAAACTTTTGAAAGAGTGCCGTACACCAAACTTTAAAAGTGATCTAAAAAATACTTCTTTCATATTTTGGCAGCATGATGCTAATATAACTTGTTTTTGATTTTTCTATTTCAATCATATATTTGAATTATGACCCAAAAAGTTGTTTGTTCGCTTAAAATATCATCGTTTGTTGATTAAATCTTAGCAACGTTATGCAGAGGGTTATTAAGTGCTCATAAGTAATTGGTTTTATCTTTAACTTAAGTGTGGTGACATCAAACTTCTGAGGGGATGGTAAATGCTTTTAATTGGTTTTCGGTTTCCTTTTTTGTTACAGTCGTAGTCGAACTTATTTGTGAAGTGGTTTTTGTATGTGAATCTGTTATTTGAGAGTGTTTAACGAATCGCTGTACCAGTGTAGGTAAAACACGATCCTGTTAACAGCTGTTGTTCAACCCAAACTGCTCTAACAGTTATCTGTTATTTGTTTTGCATGAAAATGACACATGACTTGTGGCAACATGTACATGTCGAATAAATCATATCGAGCCAACTGATAGTCTTGGCAAATAATCTGTTTTTTTGAAAACTGGCACAAAATAGTGTATATTTCACTGATTGTTTTAGATTTGCTTAAGGCTCGATCACAGGATCCATAGCTCCGTTTCTCTTTGATACTTTTTAGTGTGGTTAACGTAGTGTGGTCCTTCTAGTCTTGAAATCGTTTGCAATCAAAAGACAAATAAGGGCTAACAGTAGGACTGACATGTTGTTTCTCTGAAGTTCAAAATGAAAGTATATCAGTAAAACTAGTTTTTAACCGTTTCATTTGGATGTTGTTGTCATTTTCTCCCATATCCAATATCGGAAGGTAAACGACCCTCACTTTCAACATCACTCAACTTCCATTACAGACAAATGAATGAGTAGCACATCTACAAATGACTGTTGTTTATTTATGTTCAGTTTCATTCCTTCTGCCACTTTCACTTCCATAAATCATCAGCGACCTTTGATAATTTTACACTGATTTACATAAGGAATATGATTTTTACTATGCTAGTCAAATTTCGTTCTTCGAGTAACCTGTATATAAATTCGACCAGCTACATCAGAGAAAGTAATGACATCCTTCTTAATAAAATCCTGAAATCGTTTCAAGATACGTGAATGATAATCAGAATGTTAAAATCGTATAATAATCCCCCTTTTTGTTGGCTCCAAGGTGACGAAATTACAAAAGATAAGGGAATAAACGTGGAGGTTTACTCAGGAACTAAACATTTACTTCATTCTAATAACATGTTTGATAGTTTGAGGACATTATTTTCACAAATTTGAACGAGTAATACTAGTAACATCGTATAATTTATCTTAGAAAAAGTTTACCTCAACATGTAAACTTTACTAAACCATAGTGTGAGTTGATTTTAGACATGTATGAGTCGTAGCATGAAAATTGATTAATACAGACCTTTTCTTACAAATCCTAACTGTACTTGTTTTTTTTCACGTTGTATTCAAATTAGCAGCCGAGAACGTCCGTGTAGTCGCATATGAGTTTTTTCATTTTCTTAACGTTAAGTTCGGCTTCTCTAAATCCACATTTCCTACAGTTTCCCGACTGAACCTCTTTATTGTCAGTTCATTGATTTTTTTATTCTCATAAATTTTACATCTAACAGTTTGTATTTGAGTAAAGTTTATGATATTTTCACATTGTTTACGAAATAATCCCGTGTTAGTCTGAGCAATTATAGGTTTCAAGTCATAATACACCTTGTATTTTTTGGGTTAACCGTATCAGTTCTTGTATACGAGCTTTTCACAACACGGGTAGCTGATGCTATTTTGTCACTTCGTAAAACATTAGCAAGACAATCTAAATAATAGAACTTAGTACCGTAGATCACAATAATCGCTGTGCCAACCATAATTTAAAGCTCATGAAAATGAAAAAGGAACCGAGCATTTCACCCACCCGCTGAATTTTAAAGAAACTAATTGTTTTCACAGCTTGAGAAAATTCAAAAGGCAATTCTTCCATAAAGTCAAAAAGAAAATGAATTATATAAAACCCGCATAAAATATATTTACGCTCATAGGCTGAGTGTAGGAAAACTTAAATCCATAAATAAATTTTTTCTCGGAATTTTTTCAACCATGCAGAGATAACGCAAGATTTTATGTCATCTCGATCTTATGATTAGGGGCGTATTTAAAGTAAGGTGCACTAGATCTTTAACAAGCGATTCCATTTGCGTCTCGAAACCTACAGATTTATAAACGAATTTCTGTCCATATCATGTATTTTAACTCTAGTATAACTTTCAAAACTGTCGTCTAAATAGGACATTGTTTACCACTTTTGCTATTCATTGGAATTTTAAGATGATTACTATTGTTTGATACTGATATTAACCTTTTTCTCTACTTGATTTAATCAATGAATAGTCCTATAGCTGGTTTTCATCTGTTCAAATTTTTGCAGCTGAAAACCCGGATTATTTTCCCGAAATCCTAATAGTTTTTTACAAAACACTTTAAAGGGAATGAAACGCTTGAAGTTTATTTTATACAAATCCAGAATTTGTCGATGCAACCAAAATTCAGGTGCGTGGTTTTAATATTACAATCAGCATAGAGTTTAAAATAAACACATA